TGTTTTGAAATTTCAGTCATGTTTATACACACTGGTATTTGTGATTGGCTTATTCTTGTTTCATATAGTTTCTCACCTCACTTCATCACGTTTAGCGACATTTGCTTGTGTCACGGTCGCCTTTCAAATGATGCACGTCCTATGCGGGTTTGTTTCTCATTAATATCATTAGTGGACGCTTTCTTCATAGGAATTCAGAGGGAACATAAAAACAAAACCATTTCAAGCGTACTAAGAAACATTGCGACAATATTCAACGTTTCGGCTTCATGCCGTCTTAAGTGATTCAAAAAGATTTGGATTTTGCTCAGATCAGTGAACGTGTTTGATCGATCTAGATCAAATGTATCGTTAAAGGTCAGAATGATTATAAAAAGAAACAGATAATTGAATCGCTCGAAAAAAGTTCGCCTGGTATAGTCACGATAACAGTCATTATATTAAGCCTACTAATCATATACTCATATAAATAATAATTTCATTTGCACGGATTTTTTTTCGCGAATATTTGTCATGGTAACATAAGATTTAAACATTTAAAGCAATAACGTTAGTAAGCGCTCTTGTTGCTGATAGTTTTTGCGAAAATCAAGAGGAACCATTAAGTTTGATTGATCATCGGTGATTCAATTAATTTTTTGGTCTCGTAATTCTCTCTTCATTTCATTTCATTTCAAACTTTTTTAATCTAATGGAATCAAAAGTTGCAAATCACTACAATACAAGCATTAATCTAAATTCATTGTCAACGATATCGCTATCGTTTTATTCCTTCTTTCATACCTACTCCCTCCAAATAGTCCAAGTTAGTCTAAAGCTCTGAAGTCCANCTAACTTATGCAAATTGAACCATCTTCCTAAATCATTCACAAATCAGTTTGACAAATCATTGAATTCCGAACTCGACGTTAAAGTTCAAGCAGCCAAGTTACATACTGATGGAATATTTATCAGACTCTGTATCGCTCAAAAAACTATAATTTGTTTGTTGTTAATTATTTAATGCCTGACGCAAAAATGTTTCAGTGTTATATTCTTGTCATTCAACTGGAAACGAAACGTGCTGAGGACCGAAGTGAAGTCATTGAATATAACGTGATAAATGCTATCGTCATGCCCTCTGAATATGAAGAGTCTCTCTCGGAACACTTTTCACTCACCAATCTCAGACATTATTACATTTGTAAAAAGTTTGATGCTGATTACTATCATATAATAAACTATCATGTTTGTATGAATATTAATGGTGATTACGTCTTGTACTGATATTGAAAACAATAAAAGGGTAGCTTTATTTTCTGAAGTGTGCTATTTGTACTGAGATTGATAACAACAACAAGGTCGGGAAGATCTTCGGGTTCCTATATGGGAAGGCACGAGGATCTTACTGACCCTGTTATTAAGATGCAGATTTCTTCTGAAAATGGATTCAACCAGACGGATTCCTGGAACTAGTAGAAACAATCTAGCAAAGCAGTTGGAAATTTTAATCAAATCTGAATTTTATACCGCATGACACGTTTCGCAAGAACATTTCCGTTGATGCATATCCGCAGTGATAATTAAGATAACAATGATAAACTGATTGTGAGTAGAACATTGATAAAAGTTATGAATACTGAAAGATTAGTGGAAACGATATGACTGAATAGTTATTTAGTTAATCAGCAAATCCAACTCATTACGAGTTTATGCCTATTTGTTATCACCAATATCACATTCTTCCTTACTTGACGTCCTTCTTTCCGCGCAGAGAACGATAATAGCGATGGGAACCATCGGTCATCATGAAATTCGAACTTCGATGAGTGATTACAATCACGAGCGAAAATTGAATAATTTCGACAGCACTGAATAAAATCACGATGAAACGAGCGAAATCTGTGCTCGATCAAGATAGAACAAAATTTTTGGGTGATCCATATTCGGAATGCGCCATATCCAAATCCATAAATTCGAGATCGTTAACGATAAGTGGATGAAATGCTGTGTTGCGCAGCCGATCTGTGCTCTGGGGTCGATTTAAATTGGCGAATTTTTTATCGATAATACCGATTGTGGCTAAATTGAAACGTGATAACGACTCCAACTGACTACGACCCAGCATTAGTCCACGATTCATGTTGATACTCTGTGCCAGCTGCAAATTTTTTCGGTTTATTATTTCGAAAAAGGAGCATAATTAATGTGAGTAGTCATTCACTGGCTCAAGAATAGCATGCAAGTTCCTCCCGAAATTGATTCAACTAGACTCCTGGAATCCTGGATTGATTCCTGGAATTAGTAGAAACAATCTAGGAAAGTGGTTGGAAATTTTAATCAAATGTGAATTTCATATTGTATGACACGTTGTGGTGAGATTAGAGTATGCACATTGTTTTTTTTTTCTTTCATAGAATTGAATCCGTTCAGACTTTTCATGGTTAGACATTAAGTCGGGTGATTGTGGCAGAATTTTATTCCCTGATCCAATTAATCAAAAAATTTTGATTAATTCAATTGATTGATTGAACTGATCAGTTCGTTGACTGAATTGATCTGATTCAATTTATTGATCCAGTTGATTGATCTATTGATTCAACTATTTCAATTCACTCAATTGAACTGATTGAATTGATCAGTTGTTCAAATAATTCAATTTTTGTTAGTATCTAAGTGGATAATTAGTCTCTCTCTCTTTAAAGAATGTCTGTGGGCGATTTCTGAACGCTTGTGGTGCTCTATGGAATCAGAAATTTTTACCTCTTCATTAACTGCTTAACGTTTGTTTACTTCAGTTTCTTGATGAGACTGTTTGGTCGGAATTCAGAAATCCCCTTCCGAATATATTTTGTATAAGTGGCACAAAAATAGCAATCAGCGAAATAGAAAATGGAATCATCAACTGACTTGAATCATTTTGTTGGCGATTCGTTTTGCAGTGCCCACATGTCTTCCCATGTAGTGAATATGATTGATGGCTTCGGCTGCCACCAGCTCAACCGTGATTGTCACCAATATAACACCAACAATTATGAACAAAATCAGATATGGAATTGGTATCGGCGACTGAAATTCGGGCAAAATTTCATTTCAATTCTCAAGATTCAAGCAAAATTTTCTCTCGGATTTTCATTAAATTTATGATGCACTCACATGCGATTCGCTTCACTGAAATAAATTTTTCATTGAACAAAATTTATTTTCAATGTCAAAGATGAAAGGCAATTTGCCTAACGAAAGTGCTCTTCTCATTATGGAAATCAACTTTTTAAACTGGAAATATCGCTCTAATGATTCATTGCTCTCGGCAGATCATTTTGGTCATCTTGTGATAAAATGAAAGCTCGAACGATCACCGGCAAAAATGGAATTGCAACGGTTGAATGATATTCACAAACCGGTATATCTCCGAAACCAATCGTAAAAATTGATGTGATTGAAAAATACACAGCATTGAGGTATGTAAGCGGTGAGAACAACCAGATTATCCATGCGGCAAGGAACAGGTAAACGAGTAAAAATGCCAGGAAGCATATGCCTAATATTGACTGAAAATATCACAAGTTGTTAGTTATTGCCATAAGAATTAGTAGTGTCATTATGGTGATTGATCTTTGTAATGAAGGCATTAACGGTCCTATTATTTCAACCTGAGTATCTTCACCTCAGTACTCAAGAGAAGCTTTACGCTCAATTTCCATGATGGATTATCTTCAAAGCACTGTTATCATCACATGCAAGTAAGGTGCTTGATAAGATCACGCTCTTCTGCAGTCGTCAGACAGAAGAGAATTCGAGTTACGTGGGCTAAGTAACAATATGCACGCATGGCTGAGCAAAATCTTTCCATTGGAAAATTATTATATTTTTGAGTACGTTCAGTGAACACTGTGAACATGGCAAATGGTGCATCGATGAAGATGTTTACGATTGATATTATAAAGATTATCGTAATGCACTCATAACGAAACGTTTCCGAAATTAAATTTCTGCGGAGCTTTTTGAGCGAGCCAAATTTTGTTTACTTTGTTTATTTGCTAATCGTAAACTATGAAAATGATACGCCATCACAATTCTAAGCCTTTCTGTAATCAAGCAAAATACCACCAAGATCAACCCATTCTTTATTTTTGATATCTTTTTTTTCGTACGGCTACATATCGATGCGAAATGTCATCCTCCATTAAGTTCAACTCAATTAATGGCTCAGTGATCACATAAATAGCTCAGGTGCCACTCGTTCGTTTTACTAAAAGATATCGAAAACGTGGGTTCAAACTGAATCCAAAAACAATTCAATTAATTGATTGATTGATGAGCATGAGGGTCACCATCTTCAAACAATCGCTCTTCTCAGAGTTGCCCAGTATCATGGTGATTTCTTCACACAATCGGATTCCCTAGATTCTCTACTTTCAGAAAAGTATACATTTTTTGGGCAATTTTGCTTTCCTTCAGAGGAATAGCTGATTTTCTGAAGGTATCTCATCGTCAGCTGCTCGGCAGCGCTCGTTTCAATGCAATGTATCACTATTGATCAATGTGTACATTATTATAGTAGCAATAGCTTCACCATCCTCAGACTAACCGTGTCCTCAGATTTGCCCACTAACATGGTTATTTCTTCACATCATTAGATTCCCCGGATTCTCTATATTCAGAAATGCATATATATTGTCTGGCGGTTTTGCATACTTGAGGAGATATATGTGATTTTCTGAATGAATCTCAAGCAGCTCGGCGGCGCTCGTTTCAATACATTGTATCACTATAGATCAGTGTGTACATTACTATAGTAGCAATAGCTTCACCATCTTCAGACTAACCGTGTCCTCAGGTTTGCCCAGTAACTTGGTTATTTCTTCACGTCATTAGATTCCTTATATTTTCTACTTTCTACACATCAGATTTCCCTTATGGTTTCTCACAACATCAGTCTGGGGAGTTTGATTGATGAGGAAAAATGTAAAATCAAGTCGAAGTTGAGTTTTCAAAACATTTTCGACATTTTGGAGCCATCAAAAATTCCTCAGCCGGAATAGAAAAGCACTAACGTTCGGAAGTAATTTTGTTGAATAGTAACTGATGAATTTTCCAACATCGCTCACAGCTATCAATATTAACGGTGCACCAATAATACCGTATAAAATGATCAGCAAACGACCAATTTTCGTTGTTGGCGTTACGAAACCATAACCTTAAGAATTAAGTGTTATTTCATTAAATTGCTCTCTTTCTTGAATTCTCAAAAAACGAATAACATCGTAATTGATGTTTCGAAACGTTCCGAATCGGAATTTTCTACCGAAAAGTGTTATCATCCGAAGATGGGCAAAAATGTTTGTGTGCGATTTGGAAGGATTGTAAATTTATCTCTAACCAACTGGTATCACTATCGTTGTAGCGAATAGAAATGATGTCGCCGGAGTCCACTGGTCCAAATCAGTAGCGTAATCCATGAAATCCGCTTCAAACACAACTGCGGCCTTAAACATTTGACATTGAGACGAAAGATGTAAGATCGGAACAAACCAAGCATTTTGATGCAGCCTTCCATGATAGATAGGTTGCTTGCATGAACTAACGGCAGAAATGCTTCCGATTCGAAAGCCTTACTTTGAGGAAGTTGCAAGAAAAGAAAAAACATCAAGAATGGAAATTGCTGGCCCTAGAATCTTCAAAATTTTCCCGAAAGTTTTCAGTCGCTCACCTGAGGATCACCAAAAAACTCGAACATACTACCGATGTATTCGTCCAACAAGTACCCAATATCGAATCGAGTCAAATTTTCCAGCGCACATTTCGCAATGAATTCCTGGAATTATTCACGATCAAACTGGCCTTGTTCGGATCAATTTTTTCAATTATGATTATCACTCATTCGGAAATGTGAATTTAACATTCGAATAAGTTAAATTTTCCAACTTATTCGGTGCAGCATTTGAAATGAATTACATTAGTGCAATTTTTTCCACTTCGCTGAGTCGAATGTTTTAAATTCAGCGTGAAATTCTCCACAGTTATACCAACAAATAAATGTGAGCTTTCGAGCATTAACCGACAGCATGAATCTTGTCTCATCATATCAATGTCCTTAATCCTAAATGTTCCGCTCAAATTTTGCTCTCTTTTCTTCAGTGAACCAATTACCGCATCAAAATATAAGCAAGCAACAATATGACATTTCTTTCACTCGATTCGTTCTCATATAATTTGCTAATGTCACTCTTTATGAGACTGGCACTATTCTCATTACTATTAATATGATAACTAAACTCTCAATGCTGCTTTCTTCTGCTTGCTAATCTTATTCCTATTGGCGTTATTGTTTCTGTTGCTAGTGCTTATTGGTGTGCTTCGAATTATCAGTACTGTTATCATTTTGAAAACCTTATGGATTAGCCGTTAAAATCACCGCGACTGAAACTGAACGGATTTCGAGTTTGATCTGATCCGATCGTAAAATGTCGCCTACAAATGCATCTACTCTTGAAAAATGAATTGTTCAGTAAGTTTAAAAACTATATCAGTTTAGATCAATATTTTAGATTCATGAATTTATCTGCATCTGATTGACGGAACAAGATTATGAGCAAACATTGAACATTGTGTATGATATGATGTTTTCTTATTGTATGGGTTCTTTTTGGAGGTCTCTAACCTGAATTGGATCGCAGTTTCCCGAGAGAATTTCAAAGAAAGTTTAGAAAAATATACCATCTTGAGCGTTGCATATCGTGTGCGAATAAATTGGATCTGAGCGATTTCGTTGGGTCGTTCAATGCGATGAAACACGAATGCACCCATGCAAATGTACAAGATTGAGCATAGCACCAGACCAAGATGCGCTAATAGCGAACGAATCTGAATCTTCCTTATCACGATTAATGTGATCATTATCATTATCATTGATCTTTCAATCATTATCATAACTATCACTAGCAATATCGATACTATCATATGATCATTATCGATCATATAATAGTAATCATTGATCAAGCTAATCAAATTAATCAGTCTCAAGCAATGAAGCAATCAATCACTAAATCATAGAGCTATAAAAACGTCTTTCTTTCAGCTGAAGCCTCTAAAATCCGAGTGATCTGAATTTCTTTCGATACCTTGTGAAAACCACCAGAAATTTGATTTTTGTTAGAGATTCTAAGAAAATGAACTGCATATTCAGACATTGTAAACCTCTCATTAAAGTAGATCATGGAAATCCGAATGAAAGAAACAACTCCATGAAAGCTACGAAGCTAGCAACTGCTTTCAGCTACACAACAAAAAATTTCTTAAATAATTGATACAAAAAAATATTCATCTATCATTTACATATATATTCAAACTTGCCTTAGAGCTGATCATTTCATTTCTATTAAAAACTGATGAGAGAGGTGATCAGCAAACACTTCTGTGCCATTCAATAAAAACAACTTGTCAAGTTCAAGTCCATCTGAGTGGCGGCGTTCTCATCAGAATGCAGTATTAGTTTGTTGCCGTGTTCAACGACCGAACAGTCATTTACATTCTATGTCGACTTTTTATCACAGTTTCATTATGTGTTCATTCATTCACTTAGTTATTCATTGAAATATCCAAGTCATGCGTGAACCATAAATTTATTGTTTTTGCAATGAGCAAGATATAAGAAGTCTGAAATGTTATCGTTAATATGGAGATGTTTTAAAGTTTAAAAGATTATCGTTATTTTGCGTCGCGAAAGGTGATTTTAATGTGTATTTGAAGCAAATGGTGTATTCATGATCGGATATTGCAAATCATGTAAATAAACCAATAAGCATAGTGGTTCTCACATTTGGGTGCTCCATTACCCTTTTGATGATCCGGTAAGTCGTCGTTACCTTCCCTTTGATACATGAACTTACTACTTCTACGTATAACGTCAGGAACAAACGTAAAGAACGGAATTGCATAAAAAGCTATTGTATATGACATGTTCACTTCAAACTGATTCAGAAGGGTTCTCATGCTTTGCAAAAATGTTGTATTTGTACTTTCATAGCTATTACATGCGAATATCGTTCTCTTGATGAGTTTTTCTCATTCACTTCATCTCATTTCACTTCACAATTCGAATCAATTTCTTATTCTATAGCTATACTATTTACTGGAGACGTTAACGAGTGTTGACAGCTGAAGTCAACAATACAGCAATCGTATATTATTGCTCAACAACGTTTGGTAGTCAAGTGATCAATTATAGAGTGTATTCGATAGAATGAGAATTTGACTTTAATTGTTAAGTGAAGTGAATGAGGACTTAGCAAAAGAGAACACTTTTGGTGATAAAAGCCATAAGAGCGATTGTAACAGCATGGAAAAGAATGCAAACCCTGTTAAAACGAATGAAAACCCTGTTAGGCCCGACGAGTTAATAAGCTAATACTCACAATCAGGAGAATGAAGAGTATTGCCATCAACTAACCGCATTTACATACACAATTTGAAAAACACCATCAAAATGGTGTTCTATCATGACGTAACAGCTGCACAAAATACTGATTTCCTGACCCCCTCCACTGCCCCTTCACACCTCTAAATTGCCCAAAATGGGCAATTTCACCCCCTATGAGAACCACTGAATAAGCACAATAATGAGCAAAGGTGATCAACGTTAGCACTAGTAACTGCAAACTTGACAATAAAATTGCTGATTGTGAGCAAAACTTAAGAATAGAACATCTTTGGATAATTCCAAGACGATCATATGATCAATCTATCTCTCGACGAATCTATCTCTCGTCAGACACTGATTTTTGCAGACAATGAATTTATGCTTTGAAACGG